ACCTTCCTCCAGAATACACGCGGCTGGCGGGACAGGAGTTCTCCGGTGGTCTTGCTGTAGGCGTGGCAGGACAGTGTCAGGTCGTGGAACTGGCTGGTGGTGACGGGGATCCAGCCGTGGCTGCCCGTGGCGGTGCTGGCCTCCACACGGAGCTCCATGTCGTCAGCGGCCTCCACGTCTGGGTCACACACCAGGTGTAGGTGCAGGAGATAGGTTGTTTATTTATATATAAGTGATAGTCACACATTGATCCATTTATATAACAAAAAATCACAACCGTTTAATATATCGGCCACAATTAACATAAAGATACAAAAAATTGTTTTATAATTTTCAGAATGATTGTGTTTTCCTCAAATGTCTTATTGCAAAGGTAAAGTTACCTCATTCAATAATATATAATATTTAGAATAAACAAAATATATCCGTCTGGGTGCAAATGACTATTCCAGCAGAACATATTCTTGCAAGACTAGGAAATTGTGAGGGGGGGGGGGGTAGAAATAGCCTAAGCTACTCTGTCCTTTTGAGATGTATTTCTGTCGTCTCAATAAACATACTTGAACTTGAAATAGGAAATTTAAGGCGTCCTGAAAATCATAGCGTTGTGGTATAAAAATAATTTACCAAATTAGCGAATCCTTGAAAAAAATGTAAAACACTGATTACTTAACTAATCTGACCAACAACAAATGAACAATAGTTAGTGGGTTGAAAAATCAATATGAAATATAAACAATAGTGGGATGAAAAATCGAAATGAAACATTAAAACAATGAATACTTCATTAGTTGAAAAACAATCACGTTATCTCCTTTAATGATGCAGCATATCAGTAATTTTACTTGTCCTGTATCATTTATTTTAGATAATTTTTTTATTTTTTTCGTTTAATTATTTAATTATTTCAACGTGTAATTTATTTCAATAAAGCCTGTCGTATGGTTTACTTGGAAACCCGCGAACCAAAAAAGTTTACGTGTAATCCCACGAAGTTTGAGCCAGTAAATTTATTTGTAAACCCGTGAGGCTTGAACTAATAAGATTACTTGCAACCCACGAGCCAGTAGGTTGTACACTCACGAGCCTCGAGGCAGTAAATTTACCTGTAAACCTTAAAGCCTTATGCCAGTAAGTTTCATTGTAAACCCACAGGCCTCTGGTCAGCAAGTTTACTTGTAAACCTACAAGCCTTAAAATCAGTAAATTTGTTAGATAACTCACAAGCTTTGATGCAATGAGCTTTCTTGCAAACTCACAACCCTCCTCGAGTTTGTAAACTTGTAAACTCTCAACCTTTGAATCGGTAAGTTTACTTGTAAAACCACATACGCCAAGCCAATAAGTTTCTGACCTACGTAAGTTGTTTTAGTTATGTTGATTTAGGAAGTGTTTATAGAAGCAAGCTGAACACAGTCCAGCAGTAAAGTAAACTATATATTATCATAGAGAAGCGTGCAATACCTCTTCTTGGTGTTTATATGCATTCATCAGTGCCTAAATCTCCCATCAGGAAGTTAACCTATGGAAATATGTGGTTCTGTTTAATCACAAAGACCTGACTTATCTTCAGAGAAAGGAATACTCTTAATGTCTCATATCCTTTGGAGCCACAAGAGTGGCTTTACAACTCATTCTATTACAACCTACGACTCGAGACTTGCCTCTTTCAATTCCAGCTTGTACTTTAAACACTTCCTAAATAAACGTAAACAAAATACCTTACATCAACTTTTGTGGTCATAAATCCACGATATATAATAAAAGTAATTTCTATTTGAGAAAAAAACCGTTTATTACACCGTATGATTCACCCTGTCAGTAGGCTGCTTGATGCATGTCAAATACTGACTTAATAACGTTATTTATAGTCAGTATATGGACTCTTGTCTCTACACTAGAGGCCGACTGACACGGTAGTAGGTCGCATCACATTTATTGCCGACCTTATTGCCAGAGAACGATTATTTCACATTCAAAATTATATGCACTAGCCTATTCCATTATTTTTTTCCGTCCGAGAGGATATAATTTTGAAGGACGGCCAAATATTACTACAAATAACAAATACACACGGAAACTCCAGTCCTGTATTCATCTCAACTTGAATGTACATACTATAGACTCACCAGATTTATAAACAAATAATGAATAACTAATGCCTATGGAAATTATATTTTATCATGGATATTAGGTGTAGGTTCATACGCAACCGAACATATAATTGATCTTATCAGCTGTGCGGAGGCAATATTAAATATATCAAATGTCTTAATTATATAACATAAATATATCATATATTCCACGTATCTTCGTTAGTTAAACTCACCTCCGAGGTGTGAGATGTTATGGAGGACGCAGAAGAAGGGCAGCTGGTGAGCGCAGGCGTGCAGCTGGAACTCCTGCAGGTGGACGCTGAGGGCGGCACAGTCCCGGGACCACAGCTCCGGCTGCTTCCCTTCCCTCCATGTCACGAAGTCGCTAGATGCTGGGGAAATGGCTGTCATGATTTCAGTCCAGTGCTAATGTTTCCTATATGTCACAAATTCTCAGGGGGACTGGGTTTTTTTTTAATATAGCTTAATACATGCCGTAATTATTTAAGCATTAATCTGGATATTATTTATTGGTGAACATGCACAATAATATCATGCTCATCAACTAACTATTCAAAATGCAACAATGGCATGCCAAGGGGGAAAATATTAGTTTTGGTACATATAATAATTAAAGAGACATAACATAAACATACAAGAAAGTTTTACCCAAAGGAAATATTAATGAAAGTTACAGTCAAACGACCAGTATTACAGAAACGTAATTTATCTCATGTTACGGAAAAGCCTGATTGAAAAAAAGTTGCAATTATCAAGGTAATTTATGAGAGGATAAATTATGTGCTTAGAAGGTAATGATGCAGCGTGTGTAGTGTTGCCAGACACTCACCTTTGTAGACGCACATTAATGACGCTATGTAAAGAGAGACCTTGAACACTTTATGTAGGACAGACGTTAATCTGTGTAATTATGTTTATAGGTTAGATTAGTATTTTAAAAACACTACAATCACCTTCTGTGGTTGATTGTTGAATAAATCGCTGAATTATATGTTTAACAGATCCCTAACCCTGTCCATGGAGGACAGAAGATTATGTATACATGCTGATTAGCATTGTATATGTGTGGCCACGTTTGTGGTAGAAAATAATAATAAGAAAAAACTCGAGACTCCATCTGGGGTATGCTGGTCGTTTCGGACACAAGACTACTCGATGAAGCTCGTTTTCTGTTTGTTAAAATTATATATATCGTTATACTAGGCTGTATTAACATAGATTAGGCTGTATTGGGTTCTGTTAGGTTAGGTTGGGTTGAACTAGGTTAGCTTAGTTAGGTTTTAAAATTCGTCGTCGAATCATCTTGTGTATGATATGACTTGAATCTGATCATTTTGACTTTCCTGATTAGCGCAGGGGACCACGGGAGGGTGTGTGTGTAAACACGGCCAGACAGTGAGCTCGCGTGGCGCTGACCTTCATACTGACACCACCTCTTGTGTGGCTCGTCGCCCCTCAATCACCAACCACTCTTGTGCGGTGTTCTCCCATCGTGAGTGGGTCTATGAGTCACTTGTGAATTTATGAATGAGTGTGGCTGGAAGTCGTGTGTATTACGAATAAATGTGGGACAACTTTTTGTGGGCTCACTTGGCTGTGTGTGTGTGTGTTGGGGGAATGATTGACCTCCAACTCCTGAGCGCCGGTGGTCTGGCGTGACTCCTCTTGAACCATACTAGCATTTAAGGTGGTCTACGGCCTGTGCTCACAATCGAGGATGTCGGGATCGATTCCCGTATGGGACAGACAGTTTGGCACATTTCCTTTCACCTAGTAGGAAATAGGTACTTTGGAATTGGATAACTGTTGTGGGTTGCATCCTGGGGAAGGTCATCATTAGTTGGCCTAAGGAGACTTCGACATTCTTAACAGGTTTCCAGTCCCCGATTATGGAAGACCATAAGGCGAACCATAGCCTTCGCCAACGAGTATACCTTCAGTGCGTGTGCACTGAAGGTATACTCGTTCCTGTGAACGAGTACAGGAACGATTGTAGTAGGAAGAACTGATTGACGGCCACTTTACTTCTTGTATCTGCCATTACAATATTGCTGAAGTTAGCCAATACTATTTCCTATTAAAGTTTATTTTACTCGCTGCCCATATAATGAAGTACTCCTATCTGGGTGTCAAGCTACCATGTATGGCATATCGTTCTACTCAAGACATGTTCTATCCATTTTATCGATACTCCTGAGTATTTTCTATAATTGGATCATGCCCCTTCCATTTTTCCATTCTGGAAGTGGCATCCTATTTGGAAGCAAATCTACAAATGCAATTCAGCTTCAGATTGACAATGTAAACATTAGCAATAAAAATGATGGAAAGTTTCTTGGCATATTCCTAGACAAGAGACTCAACTTCAGTACCCACATAGAACACATAACTAAGAAAGTCTCTAAAACAGTTGGTATACTCTCCAAAATCAGATATTATGTTCCTAACTCTACTCTCATCTCTCTATATTATGCACTAATCTATCCCTATCTCAACTATGGTATCTGTGCATGGGGTTCAACCACTGCAAACCACCTCAAGTCCATCATCACCCAGCAAAAATCTGCTATCAGAATAATATCAAATTCTGCTTTCAGACAACACACAGCCCCCTTGTTTAACTCCCTAAACATGCTAAACATAATCTCACTCCACAAATTCTCCTGTGTCAACTACATTTACAAAACCCTGTTCTTAAATGCAAATCCTTGTCTGAAACTCTTCTTGGACAGATGTAATAGGACCCATTATCACCACACCAGAAATAAATATCTCTTTGATATCCCCAGAGTTAAACTTAATTTGTGTAAACACTCTATGCAAATAAAGGGACCCAGTTTATGGAACTCACTCCCTACTGAATTGAAAAGCTGTCCAACTTTTACATCATTCAAAATCAATACTAAAAAGTACCTAATTTCATCTTCATAGTTTTACACTTTTTGCCTTAAAATTGCACTGTATCAATTGCTACCCAATCTCCCAACCTTTATGTTCCCAATTTGAACATCTTTACCATTGTGATCATTGCTGTTTTCTTATATGTGCTGCCAATCTGTTGTATGGTGTTTATAAATCTTGTTTATCTGTATCTTTTGCTACCCAGTCTCCCAATCTTTATATACCCAATCTGAACATGTTTACCATTGTGATCATTGCTGTCTTATATGTGCTGTCATTCTGCTGTATGGTGTCTATTAACCTTGTTTAAATTACTAATCAAGCTGTCAATGTAATTAATCAGAGCTTTAATATAACAATGTGCTTTAATATACCTACTTATCTCTCTCATCTCATTTTTCTCTTGTAATATATCTTTATCATTTATCAATTCTGATTGAAATTACCTACTTAAAATTATATGCTAGATTAAGGACCTGCCCGAAACGCTGTGCGTACTAGTGACTTTACAAGAATGTAAATACTGTACTATCCAATGTATTCTCACAAACCCAATGTACCTTCTTGTATATATATAAATAAATAAATAAATAAATAAATTAAATTCAGCTCCCCCAGTTCTCGCAATTCTGTACTTTATCGACTTCACTTTTGTAACTTTTTGAGGTAAGGGCTTCAGGCTGGTATTACATTCAATTACTGGTCGGCATTTTGCTAGCTTTCCGATAGTGTCCTTGTCTAAGATTTTAAGTCCTTGTCTGAGAATCCTGTTTTTTATCAGCTTAGGACATGCCGATGCAATATTCTGTTTATGTGAGGCCGGTGATGGGTTTGGCGTTGTCCTGCTTCCGTGTGATAGGTTTAGTGCTACAAGTCTAATCTCTTGCGGTATGTTTGCCTTTACATCTACTCTCCAGGTCCTTGTCTTTCATACCTGGTAAAATTCCTTCATTAAGTATTGTGCCTTTGAACTTCCATCACCTGTCCTCGTTCCAGTGACCTTGCACATATCTGGATTGAAGTCCAGTAACCATTTTATTTGGGGACATCTGTACTTTAAATTTTACTTATAGGCTCATGTAGCCTTTGCTCAGGTGTGTACATGTGTTAAGCTAATGATTTAAAATTAGTGAATGTACTCTGTACTCACCTAGTTGTGCTTGCTGGGGTTGAGCTTGGCTCTGGTCCCGCATCTTGACTGTCAATCAACTGGTGTACAGATTTTGGAGCCTATTGGGTTCTTTCAAATCTACATTTGAAACTGTGTATGGAGTGTGAAGTGTGTGTGTGTGTGTGTGTGTGTGTGTGTGTGTGTGTGTGTGTGTGTGTGTGTGTGTGTGTGTGTGTGTGTGTGTGTGTGTGTGTGTGTGCGTGCGTGTGCGCGAGTCTTTGATTCAGTGGTAAACAAGTTTGTATGAAAATGTCCAAATTGGCAAAGTTCATGGGACTTTAGTGTCTATGAAAAAACGACTCGAGTAAATAAGTGTTGAAAAAAGGCTAAAGTTAATAATTGCTCCGAAGCGTTCAAAGTGTTTAACGGTGATACAGTATCAGTTGTTCAGTGTTCATTGGAGACCTAATTTAATAAGTGCTCAAAAGTGACGAGTTACTGAGTTTTCAAAAATAAAAACAATTCTCTGAAATTGAACAACACTATAGGGCGCATAAACTGTTAAGTTGCGCGCGTTCTTACAAAAGTGTGACCAAGTGATAGTGATAAGTCCCAAGTGTAACTTGAACTCGAGCTGGGCTAGAGATCGAAGTGCAAGTGTGTGTTCAAATTGTTCGGCAGTATCCATTGAAGTGTTCTTGCAGAAAAAAATGTACACCCTACAACCGCGAGTCGGCAACGTATAAGGAGGTAAGTGTTAATTATAGACTCGTTTATTTAGCCCAAGGTCACAAACGTGTGTCCAAATGCTCGTTTATCCAACAGCCTGTTGATTAACTAAAAGCATTTACACAACTTTTTACGCTCAAACTTTTCTTAGATAGTGCTTCGTTCTCTTACTATGTTAGAGTCGCACCTATGGAAATGCTGCACTCATCTACTGCGTATCCAAATAAGTTCCAACAGAACCAAAACATAGCATATCTTACATATCCTAGGCTTAAGCATAAACAACATTATAATAAACAGTTGTTCTCTCATTCTTGGTTACACAATACGTTAAAATTCACGAATGCGTCTTTGGAGTTGGCCGCAACTTGTTCAATCATTGCTTGAGGATGGGTTCTTGGTGACCATTAATTTCTGACCATCAAGGGTGCAACAGACTTGTTATGTAAGAGACAGGAAACTGGATGCTAAAAAACTACGAATGGGGTTAAAACTTCGTGTTGGGAACAAACCATTGGCTACAAAGGCTATAGGATAGAAAATATACACAAGGGAATAAACCATGCATAGCTTTTGGTAAAGAAATTGGATTTATAAGGATAAACGAAGTATGGTGACGGAACTGTAAATATGGAGAAGAAA